AAGCCTAGTCCTGGACTACACTGAATGGAGAGTCTCCACTAAAAGAAAAATTATAGTCCAGAAATAGGCTTAAACCTTGTCAATCAATCTCTACAGTATTTAATTAGCAATTACAGCATCTACGTAACTCCTGCAAGTGTTAACGAAGCACCCCAAGGACAGTTGATGTAACCCAACTGGTGTTAAATCCAGAATTTGAGAGTTTAACTGTGTCCAGCTGTACTCATATAAACACTAGAGGTGCTTAACAAACAGGGATTGTTCTGGGAAGCAATACTGGATGAGAAAGACCACTGAACAGCGTAGCCTTTAAACATGTTAATGCTGTGTTGTAGCGTCTTTAGTAGTAGTTTTCTATGTACGTACTGATAAATGCATACACTGGGAGATGTTTCTGTTTGTCACTTATGGACTGGTCAACATCTGGGCTTTTAAAAAAGCCACTGGTGCTCTCAGCACCCCTCTCTAAACAACTACATGTGTAACGTGAGATGGGCCGGAACCAGGCCAATATCTAAAGCTGGTCCCAAAGTTAGGCTAGAGATAAGCCCATCTGTTATGGTACATTAACCCCCCTTGGCCTTGTATGTCTAATTAATAGCCAGGCTGGATAAAGGTGTCTATATGACAGCATTTGGAGCATTTGTAGTTTTTTTTACTCTCATGCTGTTGCAGTCGGCCCAACATTCATGGAACAGCACGTCCAGAGACTTGTGGATGCAGTATCAATACGCTCCCTAGAGTTGTTTTGTGTCCCCTTGGACTATTTTAAGACATGACATAAAACTGAAGGGAGATACATTACATACGTTTTCATTACATACGCAGTAAGCGCACAGCACCTCTATAAAGGGGACGAGGCATCATCCTGAGGACTCAGTACAACTCTATTAAAGGGAAAGTAGACAAAAGTCTACTGGGAAAAGACGTTCAATACGTGTTCTTGTATCACCAAACCATGTCAAGGATGTTCAACAAAATGTAGATAAAAAGTGATGTTTAAAATCAGTTTAAAATCCCAAGTGTTGAATTAACACCCTGAGCTTATTATTCCTACAGAAACCTCAAGACTTAATATTCAGTAACTACTACTTATTATTCAGTAATTACTATGTAACTACAACACAAGCAATGTGGTTATGAGATTGAGAGAAGGAAATCTGGGCCCTCCAACAAATTGTACTGGGCTTGTTGAAGTCCTGCTGGACACAAGTGGCCATTAGAAGAGTGATTTAAACATGGTACATTCTTAAATATAAAAGGGTTCTTTGGAGTGATGCCATTATAGAATCACTTGTGTTTCCCTTAGGAACCTGTCAATTAGTGGTTCTTTTGTGATGATCATTTTTAACATTTTAATGGCTAGAACCTTTAATAACTCAGCCAGTTTGCACAGTGGTTCATGTAGTAACTGCATAATAAGGATGTAATAAGCATGGACATTTTAAGGGGTTAAAGAACCTCCACATCATGTTTAGGTTCTATACCAGTTAAAGACTTTTCTTAGAAGCTCAAGCCAAGAACCATTTAGGAACCTTAATTTTTACAAGTACAAGAGTGAAACAACAACGAAGTTGTTGACTCAACAATGGGGATTTTACTGTGTTGGGTGTGATAGAAGTGTTTGCGAAATGCTTCATGACCGGAAGGTGTCGTTTCCTTCTCGGCTCCTCCAGAAATCTAAATGTAAACACTCATGATGCTTTACAAATACACATATCCTGAGCTGTGGCCTGAAAGATATGAGTCGAGCAAGGTCATCTGTATTCTTTGTTGTTGGTTACAGGTCTTCTGGAGATATCTCCGGTGGAGAGGGGAGTTGTGACACTGTTCGGCGTCCGGAGCGAGCTATTCGTGGCCATGAACAGCAAGGGGAAGCTCTATGGATCTGTGAGTGCATGAGCTGATTTACGGCAGGTTTCCGCCTGGAGATTTTCTTATCAGTGCCTGATGACATATCGCCCTGTGCTGGAGTTGTAAACCACCCCCTCCCCCCACCTAGCCCTTCTCCTCCCCCCCCCCAGCCTCCTCCTTGGTGCATTGTTGAGCTTGCTTGTGCCTCATCGTGTTTTCATTGTGGGCCGGATGAAGCCAGGGACGATGGCGCACTACATCACTCGCTCTACGCATTCCATTCTTAGCATTGCCAGCCAACACATGCACCTACTGTCCTTCCCAGGGTAAAGATGAACTGGCCAAAAGGGACCACCCAGATTGTATGTGTGTGCGCTCTTGGGAGTAGTCCAGCCCTGCAGTCCAGTGTCCTCCCTTTTACAACCTCTTGAACTCCAGGCTTATTATTCCGATATTAATTGCAAGGTTGATTTATTCCACTCTTCAAATCTAAGGTGCCAAAAAGGGGTCTTTGGCATGATACAACTTTTGGTTCCCTAAAGAACCATCCAATGGATGCTTCTTTAGAGAACTCACCTGAAACCAGAATTGAAAAGTTCTTTACTAAGTCAAAAGTGGATCATCTGTGGCATTGCTCAAAAAAACTTTTTGGTTCTTTATATAAGAGTCATAGTATACTATGAGACTATTATTCAAGGCTAGAGTGAAGAATGGAAGTCTAGACCCATCAATGGGTCCAAGGGGTTAACAAGCCCAATTCTGCTCAGGATGAGCTTGGCAAAGAACTAATGAATTGAATCAGGTAAACTCACCTGACTCATGTACAGTATGGTTGGAGCAGGGTTGGGATAAACAGAACATGGAAGAAAAGTCCTGACTTCTGATACTTAACCCCTTAAATGTGGGCCCAAATTTTTATTACATGCATCTATAATCTAAGAATAGCTCAACCAGTTTGCACTGAAGTCCCTGTAGTAGAATAATAAGCCTTAGTATGTAATAAGCCTGGGATTTTAAGGGGTTCATCTCCAATGCACCTGATATTGACTGGGACTTGACTGCCAGTTCTTCCTATTATCACTTGATTCACAATAGGAGTCCAGAGGATTTTTGATCTGTCCAACTAAACTGCGAGAAGTAACTGATCAAATGTGCTCGTTAGGCAGGAAGACTTTACTGAAGGGCGGCGATCATACTGCTAGACTTGACCTACATAAGTCTTTTTTAACAACTGGCAAAGGTATATGAAGAATTATAAAGGCTTATTCCAACAAGCATCAATTGTCCTTACACTTTAAGAGGTGAAAGGACATCACAATTGATATGCAGGTGTTATGTAGTCCTATGATTTCTGACCTTCAGTTAAGTGTCACCAATTTCAGTGTTCAGAATTCTAACAAAACATCTGTAACATCTTCAACTCTTCTCTCCTCCTCAGGTGCAGTTCACCAATGAATGCAAGTTCAGAGAAAAACTCCTGGCCAACAACTACAATGCATACGAATCCGTGGCATACCCAGGCATGTACATCGGACTGAGCAAGACCGGTCGGACGAAAAAAGGAAACCGGGTGTCGACGGCTATGACGGTGACACATTTCTTGCCAAGGATCTGAAGGAGCACGGACAGGCCCAGCAGCGAAGCCTGGGACGATGCACTTTCTACAGAGCTTACCCATGAGGTTAAGTGTGTCGTATTCTCATATGTGTATATCAGACTATTTATAATTGTTCTTTTTTTTTGTATTTCCTGTAAAACTGCCTCTTTCTAAGTGTGAAGAACACATTTAATTTATTTGGTTATTTGTTTATTTAATCCTTCCTGCTGCTACCAAGTGTTTCATACGTGAAATTCCTACAATGTACATGATGTTTTCTTTTGTTTGTTTGGTAGTTTGTTTTTGCACTGTTGTTTTTTTTTTCATTGTTCCTGGGCAAATGGAATTGTAAGTCTTAGTCGAAGTGTGTAGCTCGTGAAATCGTAACGACCCCAATGGTATTGCGCACTGGAGCGATTGTGTAGCGTGCGGCCTCCTTTGTGTGCCGCTGGGCTCCGACTGAAGCAGTATCGCTTTACTCTCGTTGAAGTCCTACCCCTCAAATCTGTTTTTAGCTCTGCTGGGTGGGGGGCGGGGGGAGAGTTGAACTCTGAACTTATCTGTAGTCGATCTTTGTCAGATCTGTAAAGCTCTGGACCGAGGTAGGGCATCTTCTTGGCATTATTCAAGCGAAGAGTTTGCAATCATAAAGGCATTAAGACACGCTTACACCATATCCAGATTTACAGTAAGGGGCCCGGTGTTGAATTACCTCCTGAAGTGTTTATTTAAGTCAAAATGGACACAAATGAAGACTGTCAGAGCAAATTCAAACACGGGCAACTCTACTGTGAATTTGAGCAAATATTTCAGGCCTTTTAAGAACACGTCCTATGATGTGAAGTTCGAGTCAATCTTCTCTATGGTACGTGGGTCCCTATAGGTGTTTGGGGAAACCTTGCATGTCAGACATCAGTATTTGTATGTATTGGTAAGGGAAGAAAGGGCCAGAGTATAGAAGAGCGGCCTGTGGAATTTATTTTAGGCTATTGACACTTTTTTTTTTTTACAAGTTCAAAGGCGGTATGTGGTACTGATCAAAAGTCTTAGGCCATGGGAGAAAACTATATTTAAAGCTATTTATTCTGGCAGTAAGTGCTTATTTGCTGGTATAAAATAAGACTAACATTAGAATACATAGTTAGCTTAACCATTTCCAAACCTCTCCTTAAGGAAGTCCAATATTTGGAGTTACTATCCAATGCCTGCTAATCAAGCTAATCAAGGCTTCACTAAACTGTGTCATTAAGTAAAATCAGGTATTCTGATGGTGGAACTAAACAAATCTATTTAATGGTTAGAGCCACATTGAGAAAAACTAGAACCAAACATGCATTCTAACCACTTACAATGACTTAAAACTAGACATTCTTGGTACATTTTGTATTGTAATTATTTTATTTACAAGCAAAACACACTTCCTGCCAAGATATCTAATTTTAACCAGTTTTCTTAGTTGGTCTAAGAATTTTCCCCAGTACCATATCTCCCTTTTAGTCGTTCTCTACCTCATAATGTTGTCGACAGACAGTCTCCTATTCTCAGTCTTGCTGACGGCGAATGTCTTTCCGTTGCTTGCCCTCATGCAGCAGGCTTGCTGCGCGCCCTAGTTGCGCCTTGTCACGTTTGAGCTATCTTTACCCTGTGATTTACTTTTAGAAAGGATAATCATGGTGGAAATATTTGAAGACAGCTGTTAGACTGCACTATATGCTCAACCAGTAACCCTATATTTTTCCTTTATATATTTTGTAAATATAATACAGTGTGATAAGCGAAATGCCGAGAAGCTGCTTTTGAGCCTGGTGTTTCACTTTGGTAAACAGGAGGCAATGGTAGGCTTACTTCTACAGGGGAAGTCCATTTCGAACTGTTTTCTAACTGACTGAGAGATATGATCTCAAACGAAGCATTCCTTGTTGTTATTGTTTGTTACAGGTACACATTTGGAATTTAACACTGAAATTATTTGAAAAATGTCCTTTTATTCGGTCAAGCCATATAATATACAGTGACGGTGGACAGGTGGATGGATGAATGGTCAGGAGTGATGGAAGTCCCATAAGAAACCATGATTATGCTAGACCCAAGACCAAAGGTCAATCTTAGAAATCAGTGCAGCAAAGCCATATCTCGGGAATGATGTACAGTACTGTACAATACAATATTGTTATTCTTCCATATTGCCAGTACTGGACTAGTAATGTTGTTGATCTAATTCGATTCACCTAAGATGATCTGATTACTTCTCCCTTTCGTGTACCAAACCTCGTTCCAAATGAAATGGAGACTGTTTTGCATCAGCATGGATGTCGTTTACAATTGGCTGTATGGTCACTGAAGGCAAATGGCTTCTCTGACCCTCATCACAACGTGGAACTGACATGGATCACTGGACAGGATTTGCCTAACCAAAATGTGCAGTATCAACAAGCGTGACCGTGTGGTCTGATGGTAGAGAGATTAAAGCAAACACAAATCCATCATCGTCTATCCAATCTGCCACTTGTAAGTAGCAAAGTCTCTGTCCATTTTAGGAGTTGTACTTCGAACTATGAAGAGTTATGGAAATAAACTGTCAATGACGTTTCTGTCAATTCCTTTATGGTTGTTCGTCCATCTATCCCGCTGGTTGTTTCAGCAGCTCTGTTGGACTTGACTGCCCGAGTCCTGTGGTGGTGCGTTCTGAATCTCGTTGACATTTACCAAATATTGTCTGTAGTTTTATACAGGTCCTGTTAAACATTGTGATGTATGTGCTGTGCACATGACGGTTACCCTAACTTAAGTGGAAGTTAATAAAGCTACGAAAGAAAAAAAAAGAAACTCGAGCCGTGTGCTTTTTCATCCCTCCCTTTCGCTGCAAGGCCGAGGAGAAGCAGGGCTTAGCTTGTTTTCCACAAACCACATCCACAACCGGCACTCCGTGGCCTACATCTTGAGCAGTCATCAATAGTCCTTGGCCGCATTAAAACCCAGCAAGAATACCTCGGAGTGCAACTATAGAAAAAAAGGGTTAGCCTTCTGTTGGTAAACCTAAAAATACGCTAGCAGACACTATGACTTGTGCAGCTAGACTATGCGTGGGCCTTGTTTGGAGTACTCACTGCTGACATTTCTGCCTAGAAAGTGCTGCCAAGTCACTGTCCTGCCTTTGTTTACTTCAGCCAGGGCCTGGTTTCAGATTGGGTGGTTTTAGCAGCCTTGCGAGGCCAAGTGGTCACTCCTGGGAGTGGAATCCTCCACCCCCCCCGCACCCTTTGGGCCGGCAAGCTTCATGCGGCCCGCCTGGGAGGGTGCAGGAGGGGAAGAAGCACTGCCCTTCCAGGCATGCCATTCGCTTCCCTGAAAGGGGAGCCTGTTTAAAGCAGAGAGGGCCCTTCTTTTTTCTGAGGGTTGACTAATGAGGGGATATTGCCGCCTGGTTCAAGTGACACTCCAAGAAGCTGCTACAGCGGCTTCTGTTAATGTAGTTTTACGAAATATTTGTTGCTGTCTTGTCAAAATCTCAAAAACTCGAATTTTTGAGTTATTTAATTTTTACACGATTCGAAAGTTCCAGTAGCCCCTTATATTAGTTCTTAATGGAGCAATAGAAATGACCCAAAATTGTTTAGAATAAAGTAATTACATTAAAAAAATTATATTAATTTTTCCATAGTTTTTGATTCCCCTACTATTTTGGAAATAAAGGTTTTATTCTGACAACATCGATTTATGTTTTCAGCTTCCAAGCTAAAATGGTTTATGATAACTCAGTACCAGCTAACTCCAAAAGCATTCGCTAAGACAACAGGCAGTGAGGGAGATGCCATGTCTGCCGTGACATTTACGACTCAATTGTCCCTCTGATCGGAGGAATTTCAGTACTGGCCGCTATAAGCTGGCTGGCTTGTCTCTGTTTATGAAGATCAGCATACAGAAATCCTTGCAAAGCTCTGAAGTCTCTCCGTCATGTTAATGTCAGAGCTGGCCACCAAATGGACAACAGAAATAGATCTAGGGTCAACAGCTCTGTGACAGTAGACTTCGACTACAGAGGCATAAAACATTTAGTTCCCGCTAAAACTGACCCAGGAGTGCTGGAACAGTATTTAACTATTAGACGACACCATGACCTCAGTACTGCTTTTGATGAAAAAAGCACCTTTATAAAGGAAATGCCAGTCTGTTTTTTACAAACCCATTCACATTCCTTTGGTTCATGTCTAGCAACACAAATCGACTCCAAAAGAGGTTTTCTTTGGTAACATCAGCAATACACACAACATACATGACATCCATTCAAATAAACATCTCTTCACAACAAAAGGGCAGGCGGAGTGAGACAGGTGTGGTCACTTAATACACAAGTATTCCTGGCCATGAGCTGGAGCTAAATGGAGCTCTGTCATTGCCTGAAAGAATGACAGCTTTCTGCTCCAATAAACGGAATGTATGAGGGTTGTAAAGGCCCCCCTTAAAATAGCTGGCCCGCTCCACCTACCTGCGTCAGCCTCATTGTCTGTCAACCAAATAAACATCCATCCGCCTCTCAAGTGCCTCTTCTCTGTTAAACAGTTTGGCCCCAAAACTATCTTTATTTCATAACAGGCCTTTCAAGTTCCCCGGCACAAAGACTTCACAGGGCAGGCCGATGGTCTAACAGCTCACAACGATGCGTTCGCTAACAGGAAGCGCATTGGCTGGTAATTGACTGACTGGTGCTCTGGGCAAACAGTCCAGGCAGATGTGAGGTATGGGGGTACGTGGACGAGGGGGGAGGAGGAGGAGGAGGAGGAGGAGGAGGGGTGCTGTGGGATGAAACTCAGCTACAATGCTTTGGAGGCGTTTTCCACACCTTGCCATTCTACACTGAGAAAGGAGAAAAAAGCAGGCCAGACTCTCATGAGAAAGTCATGAATGCGGTCGTTATATTCTTCAGTGAAAAAGAGATCAATATACTTCCTTTAGAAAAGCAATACTTGTTAAAGTATAGACATAATTAAACATTAGAGATTATTATTAAAGACCAGTTTAGTAACAAGCGATTTAATAGCAATACTATTAGTAGGGTTTTAAGAATTGACAAAAAAAAACTGTAAAAAAGCCATGAAGTTTGTGTTAAACTCTAAAAAAATATGGTTCTTCAGGGGTTCTTTAGTAAAGAAAATGGTTCTATATAGAACCATGAACGCTCAAAGAACTCTTTGCATGATTAAAGAGTTCTTTGCATCGGTAAAGCGTTCTTCAGACTGATGGAGAATGTGCTGTAGATGGTTCTATATAGAACCTTTTTGAAAATAGTTCTTTATAGCACCATTATGCTATCATTATGATGTTAAGCTTGTAACAATAGAAAACCTTTGGGTGCTATATAGAACCCTTTCCAAAAAGGTTCTATTTAGAACCATCTATAGCACGTTCTCCATCAATGTGAAGAATCATTTCATGATGCAAAGAGCCTTTTAATCATGCAAAGAGTTCTTTGAGTGTTCATGGTCCTATATAGAACCATTTTCTTTATAAAGAACCCCTGGAGAACCATCTTTTTTAAGTGTGTACACATCATGAGGCTGTGATGTAAACCGTCCAATCCAGGCTGAACACTGACTCAGCAGAAGACGGCTTTCTCTGAGTCGAGTCATTACTTCACTGCCTCCACTGCCTAATTCTAACTACATCCTACCACTGAAACGTTCATTGTAGGTTTTCATGTTCATTTGTTTATTTTTAAACAGACTTATCATTCTAGGTATTATTCTAGAAATGTAATGTGCTTTGTGGTATGTGGTAAATATATAATGTCTATGGATCGTTCCTAAATGGCTCCTTCCTAAATTCACTTCAGATAGTAAACTCTTATAAGTGCAGAGCATAATGATGGAGGCTGTTCATGTAGGTTCCGGTCTCCACCTGTGGGTGGACTCAATTACTGGACTGGTATTCTGATTCTGGATCATTTCCGATCCCTGGATAAAAATAGGGCATAACAGCAAAAACTACCTCATCACACAATGAAAAAGTGGCTTTGTTATCTCACCCAAGTGGGGGACCTGATACTTTAAATAAAGAGTTGTTGCGTTTCTCTGGTAATGTGTCAAGATGTCTGTATAATAGCAACATCTATCTATCCGTCTGTCTGTCTGTCTGTCTGTCTGTGTCCACCTAGAGTTAAAACAGCTATTAATTACAAGTAGTTAATTTCTTAAGAGACATTTCTGATGAAATTCGATATAAAATAATCCACATGAATAAGGAAGGGGGAATAAACCTATCCATAGTGCTTAAATGGTTCTTTGCATGATACAATGGTTCTTCAGATTGATGGAGAATGTGTTGAAAATGGTTCTATACAGGACCTTTTTGGAAAAGGTTCTACACAGCACCAAAAAGGGTTCTACTAGTGTTACAATGTCAAGCTTTTAAAAATAGAATAACCCTTTTTGATGCTATATAGAACCATTTTCAAGTAGATTCTTTGAAGAATCACATATAGAACCATACTGAAAAATGAACAGCTTAGACTTGATGGTTATGTTGTCTGGAAATTAAATAAATAAAGGTCAATCTCAACATTTTTGAACAGTTTTGTGTCTATCTACCTTTTTTTATTCGCTCCAGCACATCCTAAATCACGTCTTATATATTGGGCTTAATTCCTTATAGAACAACGGAACTGAAGCTGAAATATTAACTGGATATAAACAGAACACGTAGTCTCCATCTATTACTATATTCCAACAAAAGGTTAATTTGTTAAATGCTGAGCTTTTTATGTCAGCTTCTGACTGCCAGGGGGCTCAGGGAGCCTCCGACCTCAAGGCCTGAGGTGGCTCAAAGACACTGCAGATGCGAAAACTGGATGAATGAATAGCTTTTGGATATGTAAGGACTAAACACATTAAATGAAGGCCCCTCAGCCCATACCATGCCACCATGTTTTAAATAATTGAAAGCCCCCATCATAGCAAAAAAGCATAAGGGAAATAATAGGTTTTTACACATTCATTCAGAATGAATCATTTTGTTGGTTTACATTACATTCCAATGGGGTTCAAAACAAAATTTGTTTATTAAAGTTATTTTTCAGGTTCACTTCTTTCTTATTGTCAGAGTGGACGTGGCATGGTCTCCAAAGACACTTGTGTTCAGGGCCTCATTAGACTAAGATCCATTCCTGCATAGCTAGTAGCATAGATAGTAAATGAAGAATGTAGGATTTCCAAAGTGATGTGTCAGTCCTTAGCAATTTCCTGAGTGTCCAATGGTCATTTTAACACAAAATGTAAATGGACACATGAATCCACCAAGTACACATGGTGAGAGGCAGATGATGTGTTTCTCAACCCCTCTTCATAGCCTCATAACTCCGGATGTGAGTCACGTATGGCTTTGCGGTATGATGGAATGGAAAGGGCGACTCTACAGATTCAGAAAACGTTTGAACCATGTTTCTGTGCTGTATTATCACAAAGATAGAGAAACATACAGAGAAACATCAAATTTGATGCACAGGCGCAATCGAGGAGCCCACAGGTTTGATGAGACGTGACTGCCTTTGTTCAGGAAGAGGGT